AGGGACAAAGAAGAAAATATGTCAAGTATTGTTAGAGTATGCTATCCATAAATGCAAATATTGTGATGAAAAAAGAGAAGCAGACAAAGACTATGAAGACCCTTCTATCAACATGAATATTCTGGATTAGCTTGCCGACAAGTATAAGAAGACTGAAGAAGATAGAAGAAGATGGAAAAAGAGAAAGTCAAAAAGACTAAGCCTATTATGTCTCTTGTAATAATTACTTTAGCCTTTGATTTTGTCAAAAAGTCTATGTAGTCTAAGATTAACTTTTCCATTTTGTCAAAAGTAGTTTTGTCTTCTTGTAATTATTAGAGTTAAAATTAACCAAGGTTATGTAACTAGGGTTGGAATGCCAACTCTATATAAAGCGATATAATTTCTGAAGAAGAACACATTCAAGAACGGCTGAGAACCTCAAAGCCTCCTTGAGCACTTGAGTTCTCTACCTTCTTGTAACCTTGCCTTTTCAATGTCAATAAAAGTCTTCTATTCATTTATTTCTTAGTTTACAAGTATTGATGATTAACAGGTATGGCTGAGTAATTTCTTTTTTAGGGATTAGGAGGGGATTATTATCTAATACTTAACAAAAGTTTTGAATTTCCGCAATGATCCTGTAAGGGGAATTACTGGTTATGTGTTGTTATGGCTACGCCTCCAATAGGAAACGAAGGAAGGCTGTACTGTACTGATCTGAAGGAAGTGGTTCTATGAAAGGTCTATAGCCAGGCCTTTGAGACGTCGGCTTGTTAATCTCAGTATGAAAGAGGACTGAGAACCTTTCATGTTCTGCTATGACCCGGATCAGTTTCGGTCAAACCCTGTAGCAACACATAGCCAGCTATATAATATATATATTAATATATATATTAAGGTATATATGTATATATATTTGTATACATACATATATCAGATACACACACATATGAATATATATACATATTTTGAAAAAATACATATATAAAATTATATTTTGAATTTTATATTTCATATTTCATATATATATATATAAATATTTATCAAATAAATATTCAAATATATATATAATATATATATATAATTCATTCACCCTATATTACATTCATTGAATTTAGACATATTTCAAATTCAATGAACTTGAACATTATAGCTCGAGTTGGGCTGTTCTTGTATGCGACCCTATAGGCCTATATGAAGTTGGCAAAAAGCTAATTATGCTATTAGTCCACAAGTCACAAGTGGCTAATAAGACATTGCAACTACCTAATTCACATGGGGATCAATGATCTGATGTAACTTATCTTGTAACCATATCACATTCATTTTGTCATGCGATGTTTTGGTCAAGTGTGAGACATGGAATTGTCATTCTCCTTTGCTTGACCATTACTTTCTCAATCTCTGAGTGGATTAATTGTATCAATGGAAAAACCCTTTTCATCATAATATGGCTATACATTTTCTCAGTCTTAGTCATTGACGGGCCTTGTAATATCTCTCACTTAATGTGAGGGATAAATTTTATCTTGACCACTCATATTCCTCTACATGAATATCACTAAACTCAATCATAATCTTTATGATCACTTAGTCAAAGGTGACTTTTGTCAAAGTTTAGTGGTCATCATGTAGGAATCCATGATGATATCAGGTCAAAGGACTTAGTGAAACAGTTACATATAAGATAAGCTTATGACTTATACCATGCAACTTTCTCATAACGGGTCGATCCAGCACCATTGTACTTTTTCAAGTGCCTATAACTTTGATTTGTATATATATAATTAATCAAAGTCATGCTAGTCTTGTTTCATCTATGATTCCTCATAGATGACTGACCAGGGATATTTAGGACAATCATTATAGTTTGTCCAAGGATACAGTTATCATAGTGAATATGCAATTGATATGATAACAAAAGAGAATTTATTAAATAACAATGTACATAGTACAATGATTGGCCTTTGGGCATAATTTCTAACAAGTATCACTAAGAAAACTAATCACACATGAGTGTTTGGCTCCTTTCAATAACAGGTAAATTGCCACTCTTTTCTATTAATTCAAGGTAAGAGAATATTTACTCTATACCTATTCAATCCTAAAAATTGCCACATCTTAAACATAAAAAATTCCATTCAAAGAGCTAGTTCATTTAAGCAACCTCAAACAAAACATGATTTTTTTATATTCTTTTTAATTTTTTTTTTCAAAACCAAACAAAACAAAACAAAATGTTTATACCTCTCTCCTACACTAAAATCATGCATTATCCTCAGTGTTTGCGTAAACTAATAATATGATAAGATAAGATCAATATAGATGTATGCATGATAAAAGTGTAAGTGTAGAGATTTTTTTTTTCAAATAACAACTAAAAAACAAAACAAACAAACAAAAAAAGCAAATAAACTCTAATTTGTCCTACTAGGTTGATCTCTCCCATACTTGAACTATACTCAATCATCAAAAATATCAAATAAAGTAAGGTAAAAGCTCAAGGTTAGAGATATACAACCTTATCATAGTGGCTCAAAAGTATGAATTGTATATCCTTTATCTTTGCCCTCCTTGTAAAGCTTGCATAAATGGCCATTGATTTTCCAAGTATAATTATGTCTTCATCCTTGACTTGAAGCACTCCATAAGAGAACACCTTAGTCACTACAAATGGTCTATGCCATTTAGATGTAAGCTTTAAATGCTTGTGGATGTATCTTGTCTTGTACACAAGAACCAATTCTCCAAACTTTAAAATTCTTTCTCAAAATCATTTTGTCATGAAGAACTTTGTTTTTCTCTTCATAAAACCTTGAAGACTCATAAGAGTTAAGTCTCAATTCCTCTAGCTCTTACATTTGAAACAATCTATCATTGGCCAAGCCTTCATAGTTTAAATTTAACTTCTTAATTGCCTACAAAACCTGGTGCTCTATCTTAATGGGTAGATGGCAAGCCTTACCAAAAATCAACCTAAATGGAGACATCCTAATAGGTGTCTTATAGGCCATCTTATATGCCTATAGAGCATCATCCAAATGAGTGGACCAATCTTTCCTATTTGTGTGGATCACTTTTGCAAGGATTGTTTTGACCTCTCTATTTAACACCTTTACTTACCCATTTGTTTATGGGATGTAAGGTGTAGAGACCTTGTGCTTCAATCCATATTTGGATAAGAGATTAATCATGAGCTTATTGCAAAAATGGCTCCCTTGATCGCTCACCAAGGCTCTTGGCACACCTAACCTTCAAAATATGAGATTTGAGAAACTAAGCACAATTTTTGCATCACAAGTCTTAGTAGGTGTGGCTTCAATCTAATTGCTTGCATAATCAACACCAAGGAGAATATATTAGAAGCCAAAAGAAGATGGAAAGGGGCCTATAAAGTCAATGCCCTAAATATCAAAAACTTCACAAAACATCATGGGTTGTTGGGGTATCTCATGCCTCTTACCCTAACTAGCTAGTTTTTGACATTTCAAACAAACCTTGCAAAAATCATAAGCATCTTTAAACAAGTTGAGCCAATACAACCTACAATCTAGCACTTTCTTAGAAGTCCTTTTTGCACTAAAATGCCCTTACATGCATTTGAATGGCAAAACGGAAGAATAGAGGGAACATCGTGCTCATCAACATACGCCTAAGGACTTTATCATTACAAACTCTCCACATCAAGGGTGGATCTTAAACATTGTACCTAGGCTTTCTTTTCAACTTTTCAGTTTGAAATCTAGAAAAATTTTGTGGAAAGATTCCACACTTAAGATAATTAGCAATGGAAGCATACCATAGCAAAAGAGAGGACACACAACATAAACACTTATCTGGGAACAAATCACACTCATGAGACTTAAGCTTAAAGTCTACCAAACAATCCTCCAAATGGGGTAGCCTAGAAAGGTGTTTGGTAATATGGTTGGTAGAGCCATTCTTATCTCTTATCTCAAGGTCAAATTCTTGTATAAGAATGACCTGTCTAATCAACCTTAGTTTAGAGTCTGGCTTCTTCATTAAGTACCTTATAGCCACATTGTCACTGAAGACAACAACATTTGAATTGAGCAAGTAAGATTGAATTTTATCAAGTGCAAACACAATGGCTTAAAGCTATTTTTCAGTGGTTGTGTAATTAATTTTTTCACTATCTAGAGTCTTTGATGCATATGCAATGACATATGAAAATTTTACCATCCTTTTGCCCAAGCATAGCACCAACAACTAGATTAGATTTGTCACATAAAAGATCAAAGTAAAGTGACCAATTAAGAGATCTTAAAATGGGAGGAGATATTAGAATGCCTTTCAAACAATCAGAGCTCTTTTTACATGTATCATTAAACACAAATGGCACATCTGTTTGAAGCAATTTAGTCATAGGCAATGTCATATCTACTACTAGAAAAAGTCAGGTTAGCAAGGAAATTTAGTGAAAACTAAATTATTCCTCTCTAAATGACTACATTAATGAGGAATTTTGTGAGAAAATTTTGTTTCATCTCTAAAAAAAATTTATTAAGGGAATTTAGTGAGGAATAATATATTTCTCTCTAATTTGTCCAATTAGAGAGGAATAATGTAATCTTCTCTAAATGTTTTAAATAGTGAGGGAGTTAGTGAGGTAATATGATCCTCTCTAATTAGAGAGAAATTAGGAAGGAATGGTCATTCCTTTCTAAAAACTTAATAGTAAAATAAAAAATAATGATGAGAATCAAAAATGTTTTAACTTATATTTTTTTAAAGTACCTATTTTACCTAAAAAATCTATTATTTTATATTGTCTTATATATAAAAAATATTTACTAAAAATTTATATTATATCATATATAATTTTCTTAAAATATTAAATTTCATATATGTAAATAATTGTTTTTACTTTATAATATTTTTTATATAAAAAATATTTTTTAAAAAATTATATTCCCTTTATAATTCCATTGACCATTCCATTCCCTCCAATTTTATTTTTACCCAATCTAATTCCCTCCAATTTTTTTTTTTCCCATACAAACCCTAACCCAATTTGGATCTTGACCATTACCCAATCTCAGAAAACCATTGCCTATCGCCTGAGTCCTGATCGCCTCCTTGTTCTCTCTCGCCTCATGTTCTTGACCTTGCCAGCGTCGTCGTCATCTATGGATCTCTATCCATCTTGGAAGTCCGCCTACTCATTCTCATTTTCTCGAATTTCACCTCATGTTCGTGTCCTTATGAACGCCGTTGTCATCTGTTGAGCTTCATCTCTTCCTTCTTGGCTCCTCGAATCTCGCCTTGCATTCATGCCCTTGCAAGTGCAAGTAACAAGAGCACCTCTCGTTTACCAGTAAAGCTCCATCCTCCTCCGGGTTCAACTACCTCTATCATCCTTGCCTCCCTGCTCCCTTAATAGTCTGAACTCTGAATCAGATTCAAATCTATATGGCTCACTCTCTCTGGTCTTTAAAACTTCAACTAATCTCTGCTTTGCTTCTCACGAGTATGTCACTTCTCTCTATTTTGTTTTTTGATTTTTTCTTCAATATAAATGGCAAGACCATGGCAATTTCTGATTTGTGGATTCATGGTAGCTTACTTTTGGTAGCAAACTCGATTGCTATTTGTTAGGATATGGAATTCTGGATCATTTGAGAAATATTATAAGACTATATTTCCATATTGTATGTAGCTATGATGCCTTTTGTATAGAGTTGTGGTTTGGATGCATGCTGTAGACTCAAGTTTATTTATTCTATGGTTAATTTAACTATTTGTATTGGTTTATTGGATTGGATTAGGAGTCATACATGCAACTGTGCTAGACTTGGATTGTGGAATATAGAATGTGGTCTTGTGGATTCAAGTTTTTTTTTTTTTTTTTTTTAATGGGCTCTAAAGAAATCTAGATGTGTTTATCTAGTAACAAAAAGCTTTTGAGAAAATTGCAAATATTCCATATACCTTTGAGCCATTTTTCAAACACCCCCATCAGCTTTGAAAAACAAGATACCTCCTTCAACTTTCACCTCACCTATCAAGATTTAAATTCTTCTATCCATTTTTTTTTTAACTAAACACATTGATGGAGATGTCATCTCAAACTTTGTCGTTTGTCACATAATGGGCTATCATTCATTTAGAAATAATACATGGCAGAGTTTGAAGTAGAATCTTTAACAGTGGAGTCAAAGGAAATTGTGCAGGAAAATTTAAGTTTTGAAGAGTGATGTTAAAGACGATGTTTGCAGATGGCATAAAGTTAATGATATACTTTCATTTTCTCTAAACAAATTATTGTAAGAAAAGGACATGGTGGTTCTTACCAGATAGACTCATTGATGTAGCCATAATCAATTCGATAACTCTTCCTCACTAACTTATTTGAGAAATATTCCATGCCATTTATGTAGGCTTCTAGAGGAAGAGGTCGGATTTCAAGGGAAGAAATTCCAGGAAATCTACTATATGAGGAAGCAAGTAAATAGAAGGGTAGTGTGTCTGTATTAATTGTCCATAGAAACTCTTCAGTCCATGGATAATCTTTGGTAAGATTTCTGAATGAATGAGAAAGATTTGCTCAGCCTTTTCATATATAGAAGTATAAAGTTTCATCTTATTTTTAACCAAAAAAAATTGCTTGCTTTGACTTATGTATGACTAGCTTGACATTATTAATTCATATCAAATTAATTACTCTAATATGTTATATTGTTCTTAATTTTTGCATGAGAATATATTGTTTTTCTAAAGTGGTTGGTGATCTTTCATCTCACTAAATATGCTGCTATTCAAGGAATTTGGATTTGGCATGTGAAAGAAGTTAATACTAAAAATTTCTGAATAAGAAAATGACAGAGACAGATATCTGTTGAGAGAAAGCTTGCAGGAAGGGAAAAGAACACACAAGCTGGAAAATATGTCTTGGTTTGTTAAGTGACAGAATCATTGAAAGTAGAATAATGAAGAAAGAAACTATAGAATGATGAAGAAAGAGGACAAAATTGAGTTCAGGTCCTTCAAGAGAAATGATGACAAAAGAAGTTTTGTTGAGTCAAGTTAGTCACAGTTGGAATGTGAGAGTTAAAAATCACTATTATTTCACCACGGGTTAGTGATGAATGTTAATTTCTAATTTCTTAGAGAATTAAATTGAGTTTTGTTGTAGATCTAAAACTCATCATCAATGTATTATCAAGAAAAATTAACAAGTTGTAATCACATAATCCTAGAATATTGATTGTTTTGTGGCCAGTAGGAACATGATAATGATGTTATAAATTTAATCTATATAATCTATGATTGTTATAATTGTTGTTTCTAACGTGTATTTTTTTTCCTTTATTGACTTTAGGTATATATTTGTTTATTATGTGTTAGGTATTTAAATGTTCTAAGGAAACCATAGAGTAGGGGAAAAGGAAGAATGTGTTCAATTTAGTATGAGTAAGGTACTGGGCTTCGATGGTAATTCACTTCCTTGTCTTATGAAGGTAAGAATGATTCTTGCAACCGGATATCTTGCTTTTAACATATGAATATCTACTTTCCTTTATGATGTAGGTACCATGCCTTTATTGTTTTATTCTCAGGAAAATTACAGTTTCATACTTCCTTTAGAATAACACCATAATAGAGGTAATTTGTATGCGTATTGTAAAGTCCTTGGGTCCGAATTATACAGTCTCATCTCAACCTGTGCTTTACCATTTCACCACACAATCAATAAAGCCAAAATTAGAGTATATTCATAATAATAGGGTTAACAGAAGCATGAATACATTCAAAAGACTCAAAATATAACAGTTTCCCAACCTAAAAAAAGGCCATGCATCGCGGTGTGTAGCTTGTGTGCCATGGCATGTGGCAAAGAACACCTACCTTATTTCATACTGTGTCATACGCTGCGGTGCACCTGTCTAAAATTTTGCTGTCATTTTGATAGCAAAAATGATGAACTTCTAGCGTGTGTTATTTTCACATCCAATATCCAATTAGAGTGATTCAAGCGCTTATACAAAACTTACGATGTGTACTAGCTAATGGAACAAGTTCGGACTCGATTTGATGATCTGATCTAAAATTAGACACCCAAGTGCAAAAAGATATTTTTTCTTTCAAAAACACACCCCCCAAGTGCTCAATTTGCACTTCTTGTTCCGTTAGACCACTTTGAGCCTTGAACTAAGTCCAAAAGGACCACATACACTTAATTAACATCATATATATCAAATATCACATAAATAGCCCATTTTGGCCTCTTAAAGCCACATCTTGTGGTTTTATATGAGGAAATCAAATATATAGCAAAAATTCACATATAAAACTAGACTTGTTTCACTTTTCATCTCTCTGACTCTCACATATAGGGCTCCGTCTCACCATATGGTCAAGAATCACATATGTACTTGACTCTTTCAAATAGAATTCTATCTCACCATTTGTGTCAAGTTCTTACCATTTGTGTTAAGTTCTCATACAATTAACATAATTCACATTCAATTCACAATCAATACACACTCATCACATATATACACTAGTGGAACAAGTTATAACATCACACGTTTTGCTTGTTTGTATTTTAGCCTACCCATGTACCCTCTTTAGGGGCATCCCCAGCACAATGCATCACATATACATATATACAAGCAAGTTTCACAATACCATCCATTTTCTCATATTGACAAACAAATATGCATCTTAGTTGGCAACTTAATTCTATCAACACATTTATACATTCATATCTACTCATAGGCAGTCATAACACTACCATTGAGGTAACTCTTTTCTTGCTTCCTTTCCCGGCCTTCTCAAGCTCTCTTTACCTGTGTTTAAAGTAATAGAATGAGATATACGTCCTAATAACTTGGAGGTAACCTCAATTATTGATTAGTAAGCAACATCATAACAAGTGATAAGTAGCATGAGTAATGGTAAAAGCAATAATATATGCAATATAGGAATTCATTCTCATCAATCTCATTATACGCATACAATGCAGTTCTAATTCCCCCTGGTAGAGTAAACTCTACCCCTGGACTAGGCCCTCCAGTCACCAAGAATAGGGCCCACCATACCATTGCTCAGATCAGGTCATTTTTATATGGGTGGTCTTCTAGGTTGATCATGGTGGAGCCTAGCTCTATGCTCTGGATTATCAGGACTTTTTAGCCTTATGCAGAGTAAGACTATGGCCGCCTACCTTAGTCTAGGGTAACCTTGTGGATCATTCAATATTCTAGGTCTGTCATGTAGAGTCAAACTCTATGCTTTGGATTATCAAAATTTCTTCTCCTAGGTCTGTCCTAGTGGAGTCAAGCTCTGCGCTTTGGATCATCAGGATTTCTTAGACCTCTTCATAGTAGGGCCACATTTCCCTCTATATCATAATCCAGGTATATCTTCTGGATGTGATGCAAGGCAGTACACACGTCACTTCTCAAACTCATTTCAATTAATATTCACACATCCGCATCATAGACTTTCACACTATTGCTACTCTATGAGTTCACAATACAATGCACGGAGTTATATTAAAATACTTTACAAACAATTTCACAACAAACAAGTAAAAGGCTTACGCCAGTTACTTTTAACCCTTACTACTAAGGGTTACCAATCACATTAAGCTCCAAAGGGCGCAGATTGTGTCACGAGCAACCTTCACAAGTGCTTAACTACATAACAAAGTGCCCCTCAGTCAATTCTCAACACAATTCATAGTAGTAAAATTCGGTTAAACTGAATCACTTGACACATAAACAGTTCATTGAACCATTTTCAATTCACTTATTCAGTTTTATGATCACTAGCCCTATAGGTTAATCAAACAATCATAATAACTTCCTAACACATTCAATCCACCTAAATTCACCTTATTGACCTAACTTTAGGTCATTTTGAGCCTAAATGTTCAAAACTCAATCGTTCAACTCATACTAGTCATACAACCTTAGTTTTATATTCGATATCCTATCTTAACCCTTTCTTTTAGATTACAACACCTTAGATCTCATGGTTCGATTACTCAACTGATGAAATTCAATGAAAAAGAGGTAGTATTGAAGCTTGGGATTGCGCTATACTTACCCAGAAGTAATCAATCGAAGCAGACTCCCGAGCTCTAGATAATGCTTGCCCTAACAGAGATGGCTTCCTCTTGCTCTCCAAACATATCTCCAGCCTCCTCCCTTCTATTTTCATGAGCTGTTCATGTTAGCTTTAAATGATTTTTGGACGGTGTGCCACGGCACATGCAACCTTTGCCACGGCGCGTGGCATAATGAGAAAATTCTTACTTGTGCTTGTACGTTCTGTCCCGGATTTCTCTATCCTTTCATCCTATCAATGCAACACCCAAACAACACAAATATCAACTCCACACTCAACCCAATCAATTCACTAGTTATTAATTTATCCTTGATTAGCATTAGTTTTTAAAGATTGAAATTCAGGATGTTACAATTCTCTCTTCGTTAAGGGATTTTGTCCCCAAATTAAACACAAGCCAACTCACCTTACGGGAACAAATAAGGGTATTGCTTTCTTATACTCTCCTCCATCTCCCATGTCGCGTCACCCGAAGCCATTCCTCGCCAAAACACTTTAACCAATCAGATAGTCTTATTACACAACTACTTCTCTTTAACATCCCTATCTGTTCTAGTTCAATTTTGATAAGTTAGGTTCTCCTGAAGCTCAACTTTTTTGGCTCAATCACATGTGATAGATCCGGTTGATATTTCTTCAATTGTGACACATGAAACATCATGTATTCTGGATAGAGTGGAGGTAAAGCAATTCTATATGCTATAAGACCTACTCTACTCAAAATCTAGTAGGGTTTTAATATAGCGAGGTGTTAGTTTCTTGGCCCTTATAGACCTATCAATGTTGGCCAATGGCGAAACTTGGAGAAACACATGATCTCCCACTTCAAACTTTAACGGTCGACGTCACTTATCAGCATAACTCATTTGATGGCTCTAGGTAGTAAGAGCTTTTGCTATATAACTATGGATCTTTTCGGTGGTTTGATCCACAATATTAGGACCAATCACCTCTCTCACTTAATTCAACTAACACAAGGTGATCTACACCTTCTCCTATATAATGCCTTGTACAGTACTAGTTGAATACTCAAGTAAAAGCTATTATTATAGCGAACTCAGCTAAAGGCAAATGGCTATCCCAGTTGTCTTTCCACTCAAGGGCACACGATCAAACATGTCCTTAGTCTGTATTGTGCGCGTCTGTAACATCTCAAAAATTAACCTAAGGTTAATTAAGTTAATTTAGTGCAAATGAGTAATTTGAAGGAATATTTAGATATAAATAATTTTA